TTGCCCCTTTTTCCCAACAAACAGTAAGCTCCATTAGAGTACGGTCTGTGTCATAGCTATCTTTGTATTCATGTACATGCTAGCATAGTGCCAATGCATATAGGAGACATTTAACAGATGTCTGTTAATTTTGCTGAATTCTTTTTATTGCAGTGCTAGAACTGTGTATCAATATGGTGTTCATGTGCACTGACTAATGCAATAGGAAAAAATATGACCCTGGATGATTGTATCTTATTTTTTTCCTATAACATGTTGACTTCCACATAGATTTTTGAAACTTGAACAAAATAGGAACCTTAAGACAACCTAATGACATTTAAGAATTCCACAGATCACAATGCTTCCATTGTTGAAACTGTTCCTCTTTGATAATTCAAAGGTGATGAGGAAAGGATTTGCACTGACAGAGTGAAATATTGAATATAATATTATCACTATCTTTCTGGTGTTCTACTAGATTTTTACAGGTATCACATCAAGTTCAAGGTATTATTTTTCTGAACTGATAATTATATTCCTTCCCTTGAAAAATTAGGGAAAGCAGAATTTGCTACAATTATCCAGAACTTTCCACCCAAGTATTAGATACTAGTCTTTTCTAGAAGCCAAAAGAAAGAGCAAACGACAGTTCTAAATACTCTTCATTCCACTACCAAATCAACCAATACATTCCACCCAAAACTATTTTGGGTTGCTAAATTGGATGTTATTATTACACATGTAACACTAAAGCACAGAACAAGTTACATAGTCGTTTGATCATTAACACTTTTTTTTGTGATACAATTATTTGACTCATAAAATGGGTACAATTATCTTAAGGATGGAGACTAACCTAAAGGTGTGCTAGCAGCAGAATCATATACCTATATATTCTATAAGCCAAGCAGCCTGTAGGATACCCCAGAACCTTTTCATCTTGGAAGATAATTTTAACCTTGAAAATTCATGCCTCGAATGTACTCTCTATCCCTAAGGATGATTACATTACTCTTTCCAGAACCTCCATTTAAGGAGAGCACCAGACCAGTTATCTCTTTATTTCTCATCATTTTACACTCTGGACCTAAGTACCTTCCCCTATGCCCTTCACCTTTCTTTTATGTGGTGTCTTGTCCCTTTAGAAAGTAAGCTCCTTGAGGGCAGATGTTGACTTTCTTTTTGCTTGTATTTGTAACAGTAGCTGGCACATACTAAGTACTTTATAAATGCTTGCTATTGAAAACCAGTCCACAGAGGGTGGGAAAAAAACCTGCTAGGGTATAGCTCTAATTTATTCTCCTATGCAGTGGTTACACTTTGAGTCAATTCAAGGTCAAAACTGGCGTAACTGTTTCCTTCATAATATTAGTCTATGTTAAGAATATGTATTTATGTAGAAAAATTGAGGAATCAGAGGTGAGGAAGCATGACAGAAAGCACTTGAGACAAGAATAACAAGAGAGAAGCAGAAATGATTTTATTACCAAAGATCACTACAAACCAACTGAATAGACTGAGGAAACAGATGCTGAGTTTGGGAAACAAGTCACAAGCTTCTCATGGAGAGGTAATGTAGTATTTCTGGATAACATATAATTTATCTAGACGTTTGATTGGAGCTTTCTCCTCCAAACAGAGAAACTAATAATTTTAAACTTGGCTTTATGACAATTTCATCTTTCAAAAGATAGAAGAATCAATTTCTGAACAAATAAGAAGGAAGTGATTTCTGTTATGAAACATCATAAAAAAATGAAAACTTTGTCTTAAGGTTTGTGATAGATGAATAGAAATTCAGTCATAAGCTCATAAGTTCCCTATATTTGGAGGGCAGATTTTCAATGAATTCAGCAAGATCTAGTGTTACGTAGGAAGTCAGCCCAGGAGGGATAGAAAATTCTTAAGAAGTAGGTTTTAAAGGTAAGAAGATAAAACAGTTTCATGGAGGAAAAGGGGAAATTTAATGAATAGAGTGAAATTTTTAAAAGTCATACAATAAGTCAGTCAACAAGCATTTATTTTTAAAAATTATTTTTGGAGGCAATCAGGGTTAAGTGATTTGCCCAGGGTCACACAGCTGGTAAGTGTCTGAGGCATTTGAACTCAGGATTTGAACTCAGGTCTTCTTGACTCCAGGGCCAGTGCTCTATCCATTGCACCATCCAGCTGCCCCTCAACAAACATTTATTAAGTACTTAGTATGTGTCAAACACTGAACTAAGTTTTGGGGATACAAAGAAAGGCAAAAACACCAGCATTGACCTCATGGAGCTCATATTTCACTGAGGGAGAAAAATGCAAATAACTATGTACATCCAACTACAGGATGAATGGGAATTAATCTCAGTGGAAGGCACTACCAATGAAGGTTGGAGGAAGAAGGGAGAGAGACCATGAGGTGAGATTTGAACTGAATCTTGAAGGAAGCCAGAGCAGCCAGGAGTCAGTGTTGAAGAGGGAAAATATTCCAGGAAAAGGTAATAGCCATTTGAAAGGCACAGAGTAGATAGATGAAGTATCACATATGAGGAATAGCAGGGAGATCTGTGTAGCTGGATCATAGAGAGAGTGGAGGGGAATAAATTCTAAGAAGAATGGAAAGGTAGAAAGAGTCCAGACTGTAAGGGGTTTTAAAAGCCAAACAGAAGAGGACAGCAAGGGCAGGTAATAGAGAATAAATATAAAATGTAATAAGTCAGTTTCAATCAATATGCATTTATTAAGCACCTATTATGTGCCAGGCACTATGCTAAACATTGGAGAGACAGTGAAAGGCAAAAAATAGTCATTGCCTGGTTGGAGCTCTCAATCTACTGGGAGAAACAACATGCAAACAACCATGTACAAACAATATATGAGATAAATTACACATAACAGAGGAGAGGTACTGGTATGAAGAGGGATCAGGAAAGATTTCCTGTAGAAGGCAGGATTTTAGCTAGTACTTGAAGGAAGCCAGGGAAGCTCAGGAGATGGAGATAAAGAGGGAGAGCATTCCAGGCATGGGGGACAGCCAGAGAAAATGCCTGGAGTCAAAAGATGAAATGTCTTGTGAGAGGAACAGCCAGGAGGGCAAAGTCACTGGATTGCAGAGGTGAAGAATAAGGTGTAAGAAGATTGGAAAGGGAAGAGAGGGGCAGGTCGTGAAGGGCTTCGAATGGCAAACTGAGAATGAGTTATTTGATCCTAGAAGTGACAGGGAGTCATTGGAGCCTAGTGAGCATGGGGGTGACACAGTTCTTTGTTTTAGGGTGATCACTTTGGTTGCTGAGTGGAGGATGGACTAGAGCAGGGAAGACTTGAGGCAGGTAGACCAACTAACAAGTTAATGTAATAGTCCAGGAGTAATGAGGGTGATAGCAGTGTCAGAGGAGAGAAGGGGGCATATATGAGAGATGCTATGAAGGTAAAATCAACAGACCTTGGCCACAGATTGGATAGGGAGGGCTAAGACACATTGAAGAGCTGAATAAGACACCCAGCAAAGGTATTTCCAAGAATACTAAAACTCAGAATGAGCTTAGGTTGTCAAGGAAGTCAAAACAAAAAGGGTTTGTTTTTTTTCTTTTTTTAGCAATTTGGGGGAAAGGAGAGAAATTAAAGATAGGACAACTGCTGGTGATGAATGATAGAAAAGAGATAGAAGTATCACATCAAATCCCTTCTTGTGTGCCCCCTTCCCCCTCCCTGGGGAATTACCTTATTCAACAATTAATAAAAATATTTTTTTAAAGAAAAAGTGGGAGGACAGAGAAAAATCAGAAAAATGGATCAATACATCAAAAATGTTCAAAATATAAGCAGTGTTTCATAACTGAGGACCTCCTACCAAAGGAATGGGGTGGGTTGTTTCTCATACTGTTTATTTGGAATCTTGCTTTTTCTTTGTAATTTTGCAACATTCACTTTTGATTGTTTTGTGTTTGTTATTCTTCTGACATTGCTGCAGCCCCTATATATGTTATCTTAGCTCTGCTTTCTCTACCCTATATCAGTTCATGTAAGTCTTCTTATCTTCTTATTCAACATTTAGTACAACCTAGTAATGTTCCATGATATTCATGTGCTGCAGGTTCCCTACCCCTGGTTTAACCACCCACTCCCCCAATTCTCTTCCCCCTCGACTGGTTCTTTGTTACTATAAAAAGTATTGGAATAAATATTTCTATGTATATGAGTTTTTTTTTTCCTTTTCAACGACCTCCTTTGGTGTATATGCTTAGCAGTGGAATCTCTGGATCAAAGGGTATGAATATTTGAGTCACTTTATCTGCATAATTCCAAAATGCTTTCAGAATCAGTTGTACTGATTCACAGCTTCACCAACAATGCAATAGTGTGTCTATCTTTCCACAACTCCTTCAACATTGACTATTATCATCTTTTGTCATCATTAACAATTTTCTGATGGTCAAGTGAAAGCTCAGGGATATTTTGATTTGCATTGCATTTATTATTAATGATTTGGAGCATTTTTTCATGTAGTTATTAATGGTTGATTAATCAAAAAGCAGTTATTAAGTTATTAAGCACCTACTTTGTGTCACACACTGTACTTACAGATGGAGATATAAAGTAAGGCAAAAGAGAATCCCTTCTCTCAAGGAGCTCTTGGTCTAATGGGGACAACATAAAAGCAAGTCTTTAAACTTACTATTATATAATTTTTTTTCTCTAAATGAGGTTAAGCTGATTTTTATTGAATCTTGACTGAGTGTTTTCTATAAAGGAGTGTGCCATGCAAAGAGGGAGGTGATCAGGGAACCCTTGAACCAATAGCCCTAAGCTCACAGCAAGCCTAAATTGAAGCTCTTGGTCTCTCTCCACCTCTCTGTCTTTGTTCCATCTCTCTCTATCTCTGTCTTTCTCGGTCTCTGTCTCTCCCACTCTTTCCTCTTCATAAAGGGTCTTTACATTTGTAATTTTGCAACATTCACTTTTGATTGTTTTGTGGTAGTTCTTTTAATATACATTGTTGTATAAAATTCCCTAATATGTTACATCTTTTTTTATAGAAATAGATGAGAAGAGGGTCACCAACTCACAAGGAGAAGTAAGTTAAATTACATCTTTTACGTATACATTTGAGTTCTTTGAAATATATATTGAAAATGTAATCATTCAAAATTTAAAGCATTTAACTTTATTCAAAATTCCATAAGCTTTATGTTTTGTGGTAAAATATCAGGTAGGATCATGTGAGATTTCCACCTAGGAATACCTTCAAACAATCCAGCTGTGCCTGACAAGGTTATAGGCACTGAACCTGTTAATTCATTGGTCTGGAGCAGAGCCAGCCATCAAACACACAGCCCACAACACTCCTAAGTGCACCTGAACCAAATTAAAATGTAATTGGGAAATATTGAACATATTGTAACAAATAAAAAATATAATAACACATAGAAAATGTTAATATGTGGTTTTCTAAGTCAACACAGCCTGCAGGAATCCTTGTGTATGGTTTCCTCCCCCCTATTTCTATTTCAGTTTGACACCACTGCTCTAGAGAGCACCCAGAGGTGAGAAACTCCCTCTGCCAATGTAGGTCAGCACCTGTGATCTAAGTTCTGGTCTCAGAGAGTTGTCTAGAGCACCAAGGGGTCATGTTTTTGGCCTAGGGTGGCACAGACAGTCTAGATCAGAAGTATGCCTTGAACCCCTGATTTCCTGGCTCTCAGACTGACTCTATCCACTTCTTGCTCTGATGTTCACAGAAAACAGAAGAAAGAAAAAAAAGCCTGACCCTGTATCCCATGAACTGGGATTGTTAAATGCAAGTTTTGTCAGGAAAAGGAAAGTACATATTTGGAGACCAGAACAAAGAATGGTCCCCTGCCTGAGTTTTTTCAGCTAATGAGGAGATCAGAGTGCACATGTAATTTCAAGATGGTTATAGATAGGGATTACCTCATTGTTCCTAGGAAGCCCCATAACGAGACGTCTTTTCTGAGGTCCTTTATTTCGGTGCCCTTCTGTTTTTTCTCCTCAATTTTTTCTTTTTCTTTTTTTTCAGTTACAATTTTTTCTTTCTTCTGTTTTCTGTAAACATCAGAGCTAGAAGCAAAAGAAAGATGAGTGTTTCTAGCTCTGATGTTTACTAGGGGAACAAGTTCTGAAAACAGAACTCCCAGACTGCCTTTCTACGAGAAAATACACCTTATCACCTTTGGATAATCTCTCTTAAGCTTTTAATGTCACTGACACACATTTAAGGGTGATTATAAAGAACTGAGTGTTTGAGTGGCCTGTGAGCTCAGTATGAGTCAATAGTGTGACTACTGATAAGAAAGTTAATGTGGTCTTAGGTTGCGTAAAGCCGGGAGCATAGTGTACACACAGGCCTCAGGAGAATATTGTACTGCTGGACTCTGCCCTCATCAAACTGCAGCTGAAATGCAGTTTTCAATTCTGGGCAACACATTTTTGGAAGGGTAAACTAGAGCACATTAATAGGATGGTGTAGGTCCTTCAGATCATGCCATGGGCAGATCAGCGGAGGGAACTGGGATTATCTAACCTAGAGAGGAGAATACTTCAGAGAGAGAAAATACCTGCCTTTTGTTATTTGGAAAAAAGGTCATACAGAAGTAGGATTAGATTTATTCTGCCCATTTCAGAAGACAGAACTAGTAAGGGTAGAAAGGGAGTCAGATTTTTGCTTAATGTAACCAGGCTGCACAGTGGTTAGAGCGCTGGGCCCAGAGTCTGAAAGACCTGAATTCAAATCTGCCCTCAGACGCTTACTAACTGTGTGACCCTGGGCAAGTTGCTTAACCCTGGTCGCCTCAGTTTCCTCATCTGTAAAATGAGCTGGAGAAGGAAATGGTAAATCACTCCAGTATCTTTGTCAAAAACATCCCAAATGGGGTCATGAAGAATCTCATAAGACTGAAATAACTAAACCACAAACAGTCCTATTCAGAAAGTAGAATGAACTGTCTTGGTAGGTAACAATAATATTAACTAGCATTTATATCACACTTTAAGTTTTGCAGAGTACTTTGTAATTATCTCATTTGATTACTCAAAATAATCCTGGGAGATTGGTACTATTATTATCCCTGTTATACAGATGAGAAAACTGAGGCTAAGGAAGTTTTACTTGCTCAGGGTCATACAGCCTATTAAGTGTCAGAGGTTGGAGTTGAACTCAGTTCCTTCTGACTCCAGGCCCAGTGCTGAATCCACTGTGTCATCTAGCTGATTTCATGCCCTTGTTTCAGACTACTTTTGACTAAACTCTACCAAGTGGCAAAGGAACATCAGAGAGATGTTTAGAAACATGCCACTAATACTTCCCATACAGGTCTGCTGCGGTTTGAGTCTATGTAGATTTGCTAAGCTTTTTTCTCTCTCTCTCTTTTGTCCTCAGTCACAGAATGCATCTCCTAAGCAGAGGAAACAGAGTGTGTATACGCCTCCCGCTATGAAAGGTACTGTGCAGGTACTGTTTCCTGTTGTGCTGACGTGTGAAGCTGTAGACACTGGTAGTATTGTAGCTGCTTTTAAAACAGCAGCAATAACAAAATGAACCGGTATAACAAACGTGGTCCACTGTTAGTCAGTCAAAAGTGCCTACTATGTGCTAGGCACTTTGCTAAGTACTGAGGATATAAAAAAGGTAAAAGATAGCTCCTGCAGCTGCCAGGTATCAGAGTAGATAAAGCACTAGGCTGGAGTCAGGAGGATCTAAGTTATTTGGCCTTAGATACTTACTAGATGTGTGACCCTGGGCAAGTCACTTAGCTCTATTTACCTCAGTTTCCTCATCTATAAAATGAGCTGGAGAAGGAAATGGAAAACCCCTCCAATATCTTTGCCAAGAAGACCCCAAGTGGAGTCATGAAGTCAGACACAAAGGGACAACAACACATGTGCCAGGCACTATGCTAAGCCCTGGGAATACAAAACCAAAGATAGACCTTGCCCTGAAAGTGGCCCAAAATTTAATGGGGAAGACAAAATGCAAACAACTATGTACATATACAGAGTAAGTAAAATATAATCAACAGAAGGAAGGCAATAGAATTAAGTGGGATTGAGAAAGACTTCATGTAGAAGGAGGGAGAGTATTCCAGGTCCTCTGGAGGACAGCCAGTAGTTTCTTGTGGGAGAAATAGCAAGGAAGTCAGCGTCTCTGGGGTGGGGAGTAAGATGTAAGAAAACTGAAAAGGTAGGAGTATAGGTTATGAAGGGCTTTGAATGCCAAACTGAGGATTTTATGTTTGGTCTGTAGTGTGAGTTCAAATCTGGCCTCGGACACTTGCTAGCTGTGTGACCCTGGGCAAGTCACTTAACCCTGGTTGCCTTAATTTCCTCATCTGTAAAATGAACTGGAGAAGGAAATGGCAAACCACTCCAGTACTTGCCAAGAAAATCTTAAATAGGGTCATTAAGTGGTCCATAAGACTGAAACAACTGAACAAGTGTGATAGGGAGACACTGGAGTTTATTCAGCATATGGTGGGGGGGGGAGAGGGAGGAGGAACAGGGAAATTGGGGAGGGTTATGTCATTGGACAGTCACTTTAGGAAAATCACTTTGGTGGGTGAATGGAGCATGGGCTGGAGGAGGGAGAGATTTGTGGCAGGCAGACCAACCAATACACTATTGCAGTAGTCTAGGCATGAGGAAATGTGGGCCTACACAAGGGTGGTGGCAGTATTGGAGTATTATTATAAACTATTAACTAGCTACTTGAGCTTGAATAAGTAATTTAAATTCTCTGGGCCTCAGCTTTCTCATCTGTAAAATCGAAGGATGAACCAAATGGTTTCCCTTCAGGTTCTAACTTTTCCTAATTCTAATTCAGTTTGACCAGAGGATAACATTGAAGAGGAACAATAAAGATAACAGTTTTTTCAATTCCTTTTTTTATTATATATTTTTCTTCTCTTTTAAAATCTTTGGGCAAAATTAATCAGAAACCCTGACAGTTCTTTTCATTGACCATGACTCTTTGGGATTCCTGCCCAACTTTGAGGCAGCCACAATACTGGAGATTGGGTGTTCCATAGAAAGTATTACTTTGTATCAGGAGCAGCTTCTCCAAGGAGTCCTGTCGAAGCTGCTGTTGAGCATTAAAGCAGCAGCTGTTGAAATAATGAGTAAGTATCCTTATTCAGACTCTGGCACAGCCACAAAATCTAAGTTAGCTCCTAAATAGGTCCTGTGAATGGAACAGTAAAATGCACTGATAGTTGACTGACTGCAGCTGGGGGGAGGGGAAGTGTTTCACTTTTTGCACAAAATCATTCCATTGCATGAGAATGAACATGTCAAGTCTAGCACATAATTTTGTTACCTCTTTCTTGGGAGAGCACATATGTACTGAAAGAGAGGGCCTTTAATAGCTGCCCTTGTCTGCTGCAGCTGCAGAGGGGCCAGCTGAGGAGCTTTGCCAGTGAGTTTGGAGAGGAACCTGAACTTGGACAGAAATATTTCACCCTATGTTCTCTCCAGGCACTGGGTTTCTGAGCGAGGCTGGGAAGGGTCTGTGCACAAATGAAAACAATTAATTGCTGCATGTACTAGTAAACTTCCTTCCTCTAGAGCAATAAAACACCATGTCTATTCTTTCATGAGACTAACAAATAATCGAGATCACGAGCATCATGGTCTATTCTGGTACAACCCGAGTGGATAAAAAAGTGCTGGTGGATGAATTTCATTTCTAGAAAGGTAGCTCCTTGAGTGTGTGTGAAATAGCCTTTTAAAGACTTAATCAACCTTAACATGAATGGATAGCATAGAGATGCATATGACTCTCCCCTAATTCTGTTTCAGGTTAATCTGTCCAAACAAAATAGGGGCAGCTAGGCCGTGCAGTGGACAGAGTACCACACCTGTAGTAAGGAAGACCCATCTTCCTGAGTTCAAATCTAGTCTCAGATACTTATTAGCTGTGTGACCCTGGGGAAATCACTTAGCCCTGTATGCATCAATTTCCTCATCCATAAAATGAACAGAAGAAGGAAATGGCAAACCATTCCAGTATCTTTGTCAAAAACAAACCAAAAAAAAAAAAAAACCCCAAAAAACCTAAATAGGATCACAAAGAGTCAGACACGAGTGAAACAACTGAACAACAACAATAAAAATGAAGTAGTAATGTATTCTCTTCTTTATAGTATAGCAGTTTTATTTTTTAAGAAGGACCTTAAAATAAATGTTATAGGGCTAACAGTTGTCATTATATTATATCTGACTCTAGAAAGCATGGCAATATTATGAATTAGGGCATTTAGAAAAAAACAATCTCTGGTCCAGAGATGATTTCATGAATTTTCCTTAATCGACATGAAGAGATTTGGAAAACTAGAAGGAATATGTTTCCTTTATAATTGATTTGACTCTTCCAAAGACTCAGTCAGTTCCTAGTGAGAAATGAGGGGATGACTGAACATTACCTCTTTCCCAGATCATCAGCCTGCTGGGAATTAAGTGCCTCTTAGGCAACCAGGGAATCCCTCAGACACACAAAAGAACTGGAGCGAGTCTGCTGCTGCCATGCAAGCTAAACAGTAAAAACAAAAACACTCAGCGTTGTTCCCCAAGCTATACAAATCCCATCTCCCTCTCTATAAGAGCTTGAAATTAATTTTTAAAGGCAAGAAATAAGTAATGGCCAAATGTGGTACATTCTACGTTAATTTGGATCTGAATGGTGATTTCATTGGTATGGGAAATCCTGAATGAGCTAACTCCTATCAAGGCAGATGACACCTCCTTTGCAGTTTATATTTTTAAAGAGTTGCCTGGGGGCACTGAGTAATTAAATGACTTGGCTAGAGTCACAGAGTCAACATTTGGCAGAGGTCACAGACTGGACATAAATTAAGGGATATAAATTAATTTATGGGACATACATTTAAAAATGAATATAGGATACAATGAAGTAGAATTGCAATGCAGAGGCCACAGAGAACACCATTTCTCTGAAATGCAGACACAATGCAAAATATAAAGGAAAGAAATAGCTAGGAGAGCAATGCAGCGAATAATACATCTGGCCCACTTCTGAAAAGGCAGGGTATAAGAAAAATGGATTTGAAAAATATGATGGGCAAGGCTGTGAGAGAAGAGAGCCAGTGCTTAAAGCAACATGCATTCCAGTTCTATGCTAGAACACCTCAATGCACCTTGTGTTTATGCACAAGGAAAACGGTCATGTGCCAAGCATAAAGGGCTAGTGGTCGCCAATTTATAAAAGTATCTATTGTTCAACCACTATATACGAGTCACTGGGAATATAAAGACAGACGTGAAACATTCCTGTGCACATGGAGCTTATATTTTATTAAAGGAGAGAGTATACACATAAATGAGCACAGTTAGGTGGTGCAGAAATAGAGTGCCAGGCCTGGAGTGAGGAGACTCATTATCCCCAGTTCAAATGTGGCCTCAGATAATTACTAGATCTGTGACCTTGGGCAAGTCACTTAACTTTGTTTGCCTTAGTTTCCTCATCTGTAACATGAACTGGAGAAGAAAATGACAAACCACTCCAGTATCTTTGCCAAGAAAACTCCAAATGGGTTCATGAAGAGCTAGACATGACTGAAAAATGACTGAACAACAGCAACAAAAATGCCCATGAATAAGTATATACAAAATGGATATAAACTCTGACTAGGATAAGAATTCCCTAATCCCTTTCCCCCCCTCTTTTACCATATAAGCCCAGAGAGGAATTTACAGTAATTATTTTTTAAAATTTCTTTATTTCCTACCCCTTCCAGATGCCCTCCTTTCCCCTTTATTCTCAGGGTGGTATAATTGTCTTTACTGTGTATGGACATATTCCTGTTCAGATTTTCCATCAATACATGTCACACAATATGTATGAAAGTGACAGAAGTAAATCTCTGTGAGGAAATGGGCTTACTCTTCCATAATCCTCTGTATGTTCAACTCATTCTATAAGCAGAGAGATCTGAAGTTTGTCAAAAAAGGACAACTTCCTAACTAGTCACCCTCCACATTTCTTTTCAGAGTGTATAGGGGTCAGCCCTCTAATCTGCTAAATGACCAACTAAATTCTTAATTCTTGTTGTATAACTTGTGCCATGTCTCAGAAGAGGAAAATTTGGGGACAGGAAACTGGCTGACTCATCTTCACTCTTGCTTTTTTTTTTTTTAAACTGGAATGCATTTTACTGAGAACATCAGAGTGAGTGCTATTGATTTAAAAGAGAGTCTAAATACTAACCATAGCAGCTGACCAAGTAACTGCTGTGCATGCACAGATCCCTTTTGGGCTCACATTACCATCTTTAATGCATGGCCAGTAAGTCAAGTGATCCATTTTGCTCCTGTAAAAATGTTTATGTTTTTTAATTCCCTTCAAGCTTGTGGGTTTATTGTAAGAGAGTATTGCAGGGACCCCAGAGTCTAGTGATTATGGTTCTGATATGCCTAAGAACTTTATTTG